TTAGATACCATGTTAAGGTATCCTCCTCCAACTGTTGAACGGCATGTCTGTGGCGATAAAAAGCGTTGTGTGAACATGGGATCTGTTAGGCTTCATGGATTTTAATAACATTTGGACTATTATGTGAATGTGACACTACGCTGTCGCCTATGCTGTGATATAATGTGACACTAGTATCCTAGTCACTCTTGAACTTCGACATGGAATTCACTATTTAGCCTTCACTTGACATCAATATGAATACTTCTCGTTGAACTGAGCCCCAATTTCTGAAACGATTATGTCTTCCTGCGAACACACAGTACTGTCTAAAGGCATATGGTGTGTAAAGAACCGGAAGCCCACTCAGCTCTTTTGAAGACTGACCTCCGAGATTGGCCAGGCACTCTTCTTACTTGATTGGTCATTTGAAGGGTTAGGGAGTAATGATGGGTGCCACAACTTTAACCAAATAGGGTTACCAGACATCTTACCGGGCACCTAATTAACTCAAAATTCTACCTGCTGGTCGAATTAACACATCATGTCAAGTACACAACTACTTTAATTGTGCCCAAGAATAATGGGTCTATCCCATTTGAGTTAACTATTCGTATTTATCTAATAGACTTAATTAACCTACTGATCATCTCTGAATTTACATTACATCCACCACCAGCAACTCGTTAAATTGAAATAACTCGTTCGTGTTGTTTTTTTTTTATTTGGGGTGTATTCTATGCAACTAGCTATTTGACTTATCTGTCATATTTGATATCTTTATTTCAGAATTTCACATAATATACAAACAACCAGTCATGGGCGTCTCAATGTTTCGTTTATGATTTGTTATGTTCCGAAATATTCGGGACAGATCAACAGACGACATTGTGAGGCAGGATGAGAATAGGGGTAAGATAACACCGGCTGGGTGATAATATCATGCCTTTAGTTCTCGCATCTCAAATTAAGTGTGTGATTGGTTTGTAAGGTCATTTTCTGGCCAACCCATACTAATTTTGGAAAGGGTAGTAATTTGAATGTATAATTTATAAATTTTTGTCAATACTAGGACGACCGGGGACTAATCTCATAGACAATATCAAGTTTGTGTACTATTGGTAGATCTTGTAACCGTTATGTTCAACGGTTACATCCAGCCAAGTCAGTAATGGTTTCTGAAATCCAAACGCACTTTATCACACATTACCAATTTTAATTTGTAATTTCATATTCATCTAGAAATCTATGTTTCTCGTTTGTATGATATTAGGAAGAACCTTAAATACATCTATATCGTATATGCTAATATAATATAGTAATAACTAGCATCAACAAGCGTATGATTAATTACACCTTCTGTGGTAAGCGGGGTATAAATAAATCCCTTTATTAGGCTAGTTTATGACATTAGCCTTCCAGTTAGTTGGAGATTATATAGTTTAATTAGAGCAGCCATATTTTATATTTTATGGTAACCAATTATCAAGGATTTATGGGTTTATGTGTTATGTAATCCCTTGGAGGCGAATAGCTGAGCTAACTATAAATCATCTAGTTAGATTAACCGGCGAATTATTTCACTTTTCTTGGTGACTTGTTTGGATTTAATAGATTTTTTGTACGTGATTATCCACCTAGGATTTATTACATATTCGTATTTACTTGGAATATAATGATTGAAGTATATGTAGTGTTTCAAAACACCGTAATTTTACACCGTCTTCTTAATTGTATAAAACCCAATTTCATTTCATTACTTAATTATATAAGGGGTTGGGTGGTCGAGTGGTTTAAGGTGAACACCTTAGATGCTGTGTTGCAAACATATACAATTCAGCAGCAGCAAGAATCTCAAAAGATCGCCTGAATGCAAACTAAACAATATAAGCCTTTAAAAGTTGGGTGGCCTGAGGAACTGGTATTTAATAGAATTCAAACTTCTAGAGAAGAACTCATCTTCTATATTGGACGTATTAATAGCTATATTTTCCTCCTGTTACATTCCAAAGCCATTTTACATGTTTGTCCTCAGTCCCCGGATTTCTTTTTTTTTTTTCACCATAATTTAACTACGTTGTTATGTATTTGAACTTCAGAAAGAAAAACTGTGTTCTTGTTTATATTCGTGACGCTACATATAGTATATTTTGGCTACTGGTTTTGCAAGACGCCCAGTTTCTTTTGCTAAAGCCAATGACAACATCGTAGGTTTGCTATGATCTGTTGAGTATACATTTAGAATAATGTTCGTCATACAATGAATACTTGAACAACCTATAAGTTCTTAATTTGTTAATATTAATTAGCTCCTTATCATTCAATAGCTTTTAGTACAAGAATCTACAAACTAGCTTATTTTAATGAATATTTTTAAGATAACCAATCCGTTTTACGTATACTGAATAAATTAGGAATTAGAATGTGTAATATTATTAAAGGACTTTCCGAATTTAAAATACCACGTTATAACCTTACAAACAAGATTTGGGTGGTTATAAACATGCTAGGTGTATTGGTCGTGTATAGGTTAAGCACAGGCTTTAAACAAGTAATCTCTGCTGTCAGTTATTGAAAACAAATACCGGACTACTTTTAAACACCCTTAGCTTATGGTTGTCAGTCATCCCTTTCGTGCAATTTTCTACTTAAAGGTTCGCGCACTGCGAGATGCTATTGTAGTGTCGCAAACATAAACAAGAACAAATGTTTTATTTCTAATAATGTTTTTCAAAATTATGTCGAAAATTATGTGGACAGACAAGTAAAATGACTTTGAAATTTGCATATTGTTATACACATCAAAATACTTTTAACGAAGTTCCAGTTGATGTCCATACAAAGCTCAGATTTCAGTAGTATGAAATCAGTTTAATTCTGTTAAACAATGCCATTACGTTACATATAAAAATTGTATTCGTGGATTTCATATCCCGGATCCAAAAGACCAAGTTTATCTTCATGTCCGTTGTGTATAATAATAACATAAAACGAAATGTCTTTGGGGTACAATAAAACCAATATTGCCGCTTATAATCAAATTATTAGGGCATACATGTTGATAAAAATTATTATCGATCTGAATATAATTAACGAACGTTCAGTTTTATGTCATTGTTTACAGAGGGATGCAGTACGTTATGTTATTTTCTCCAGACTAATTTAAAATGATTCGCCAGTCTTGATACTGTCTGTCATCATGATTGGTTACATACCAAGCCAATCAGTGTTGGGTTACGAAGACCCTAATCTTCCTTGAATGTACTCCATCCTAAAGGAAAGCGGCGCCACTTATATCTTTTTTACTTAATTCAAATTATTTTTCAACTGGAAATTACTGTACGAGCTTATATGTTAACCGCTTATCTTGTTTGAGCCGTGGAATCGGGCATGAAAGCTGCTCGGTGCTTCAGCAGTAAATTTATACCATTTAGTGATGGTAATGGCCGTGCACACAGAGGTGCAAAATGTTTTGTTTGTTTTTTTTTTAAATTTGTATAATCCATAATTCTAGCAGATTCATCTGGTTTTCGTCCGTAAACGCCACTTTTCACAGGTTTCCAGTTGACGAAGACTATTGTTTATTAGCTGATCGACATACCTTAATATCATAGGTTTCCATTGCGTTTCGCTTAATAATACAAGAATGGGATTCTTTTTGGCACCAACAATGGAATTGGTTGCTTTACTGCAATGGGTCTCGATTTTCAATGATTACGACTGTCGTACACTAGGTAGGAAATGCTTAGGCTTATTTACCAGAAGATATAATTCCAAAACTGACTTATTTTGTAAATTCATAAAGCTAACAATTTCAATAGCCTGATTCTGTAGTTATGGCTGATGTAAAAGTAATATAGATTGCATTTCATTGTTCATTTGTTCTCATTGTATTTAGTACGGAAATATGTTAGTGGGATAATGGACGAAACAAGATGGCTTGTCAGTTAATAATACGTTTTTCATAAAAGACAATCCATCAGTAACGATAATCCTTTTTTGTGGCGTTATATACGTGACACTCTCGTGTGTCACTTGTTTCAATTGATCTTTTGTCTTCGGGTTTTTATTCTGGTGATTATTGTACGAGTGTCTGGATATAAAAGAAAGGATTCCAGTTATTAATTGGATGATCCCAGGGGAGATTACTCGTGTTTTACTCTAATGAGACGGATAACGATTAGCGAAAACAACAGATAACACATTTTTTCTGTATTGTTTCACACTTCCATGTTATTGACAGGAAACATAATGCTGACTGAGAGTAGGTTAATGGTCAACAGATTAAAACGTAAACAAAATCCTTATACGTTTTTAAAATTATTAATAATATGAATGAATGTAAAACCGACAGTCATCAGTTAATGGTTTACGGTTTGAAAAGCTTTTACTATTATTGCTTGCAAAACATTCAAAATATGGCACAATATGAAAGCTTTACATAGTTAATAAAAACATGAAAGCTTCAAACATTTTGAAAAAGAGATTACAATATCTTTAACAAATGTATTGGTCACGAAATACTCCAAATAATATATACATTGAAATCACTTTCCTTTATTTCATTGATACACTAAACGAACTTCCAGATTAAACCAAATGATTTCATACATTTCAATCAACTGAGTCGTTATCTTCTATATCGGGGAAATAAGTGTCTAAAAATATGGAGTTTTGTATCATCACAGACATCATAACGCATTACTTCAGAATAGTAGATTAAAACTGTTTTGCTAAATGTAGGAGGCTTGATTCTTTTAAAGGATGTACGTGGGCGAGATAATATTTATTGGATAAGAGAGCAAAGCCAATATACCTTATAAAATCTCAGAACCTGAACGTCAACGACAAAGTTTCTCAGATTGCTGTTTAGATTTTGGTTATTTTAGAATATACAGGTTTTGAATTTTAGTTAGTATTTGGTTCGTGGCTGCTCTGTCACACATCCTATGCTTTGTGAGCCAGACCAGAAAATATTCAACTCATTGCATTACCTGTCAATTCTTGTATTTATATTTCAGGTGCGGCTTGCTGATGTCAGCTATGTATCAAGATTTATCTCTACTCATGGTAGTTGTGGTAGCTATATTCACAGTCCAAATAGTTTCAGCAGATGCGAACTCTATATTTAAGGTAAGATATTTTAATATTAGATAAAACCTCTATAGATATTATTGGATAAGAACTCTATATTTAAGGTAAGATATTTTAATATCAGTAGACAGGAGATAAGAATTCTATATTTAAGGTAAGATTTTTCAATAACAGCGGCTGACATCTCTTTATTTAAGGTAAGATATTTTAATATCAGCAGCTGATAACTCTATATTTAAAGGAACTAAATCGCTATTCTTTGGCACCTAGAAATGGTCACAAACGCGTATAATAATGTATTATGAAGTATATTAACGCATATAATAATGTATTATGAATGCACATGTATATTAACTGATTTACATTCAATCATTTCTGTTTTTACTGAAATTTATAATCCGTGCTAGTCGGCCACACAAAGTTCACTTATCCCTACAGTCGGAGGTAGCGGGAAATGGTCGGATGGAAGGTAGTCCGAATCCCGAATAGCGTACTGACTCGTTATTCGGGATTCGACAATAAAACAGGTGAGTGCCGGAGAGGACTGCCCAGTGCACGCCAACAAACCAGTCAACACCCTATTCGCTCGACAAACAGTCGTCTCCTTGCTAGTCGGTCATCCAACGTGCACTTACTGTCCCGTGCAACCCAACAAACTAGTCAGCACAGTACTCGCTTGAGAGTACTGTCGGTCGGAGGTAGCGAGGAAATGGTCGGATGGAATGTAGACCGGTCTGTTTTAGTGGCGAATCCCGAATAAAGCACTGGCTCGTTATTCGTTATTGGCGAATCCCGAATAACGTGTCGACTTCACGTTGCCTCGGCGAGATAGACGAACAGTCCGAATTAAATGGCAGTCTTGGCGTCTGGTTATTCTAGTCTATACCGGTAGTATTCTTCTGTGGGGTATGTTTAGTCTCGTTCATAGAGTCATGTCATTACAAATGGCACTCGAAAAATTTCTGGTACGCGATTCGTGGGTACATTTTTAAATTTTCATTTTGTCTTAAATATTGGATATCATAAGCGCATCTTTTCACGGTAAGATCACAACATCAATGTTGATTTAAATTGACCAGTAAGTCGTTTTTGCAATGTCGAAGACTGTGGATGACACTTGAGTTAGCGACTTGGCCTCCTTAAGGTAATATATTATAATATCAGCAGCTAAGAACTCTATATTTAAGGTAATATATTTTAATATCAGCAGCTGAGAACTCTATTTTGAAGGTAAGATATTTTAATATCAGCAAATGAGAACTCTATATTTAAGACCCATTTAAGATGCAATATGTAAGATTTAGAAATGAATATATTGGAAATTTCATTCAAATTACTTTAATCTGAGCGAAGTTATGAATGTTTGAAGCTTTGTTAAGAAATAGTCTAAATAGTTCCTATGATTGTCAAGTACCATTGTCACTGTAATAAACGAAGTTTTGATTTGCATCCCTTCACTCGACAGTCTCCGTGAATGATGTACATACATTTAACGAAGATGTGGCAGACATTGCCTAATCCACCTAATAGTTTAGCCATCCGATGGTCTCGAGTATTGATTATGGTCTTGACATGTCAATAAATGTCTAAATATTGATTTATTTAATATTTGAAGCCATAAAAATACCTGCAATTGGCAGATTTAGCCCTTAATTAATGCATCTTTAGTAGGACTATCCGTAGATAATAACTCCAGCATTGAACACGAACTTGGTTTATGGTAAAATATACATATATTAGCATGTGTGGGCATAACAGAATATCAATTTAGTGGAAGTATTTGTTACGGTTGTTATACATATTGCATAAATACAACCAACGTATATTTGATGACTTACAGCTAGTTCCAGTCTGAATTTTACCAAAACGAATGTGTTTTGATTCTACCAATAGCCTCTCGAAGTCTTTGTATAGATTCTTTTGGACGATAAAATTAAAATTATTTCTTTGTCGAATTGTTTTTTTTTCTTTTTTCTTTTTTTTTTTTTTTAGTTTAGTCACAATTATATGCCATGTATTTTTTGTAAATTTGCAGGATGTCAATACGGCTGAGAAAAGATTTGTAGCATTAGATGATGATGATAGTAATAATGAAATGCCTTATAATCAACAATATTGGTACTATCCCCATACATCACATAACTTTCTACAGACCCTTCTCAGATATCTGGCCATTAATGAGCAGTCGTATCGTAACACAGTAAAAAGACAAAGAACGTTTGGTTTTATGGGGAGTCGGGGTAAACGGGGAGATGTCGAGGATATCAATGAATATCTCAGACAACTACATGAAGCGGTATACAGAAGACGATATGGACCATTGGCACAACGCTCTATGTTTGATAGCCAAAAGGGTGGGTACATTCAGATATCAGTTGCTCTGAAAGGTCTTGAATACAAAAGTACGAAAGAAATTTGTTACCGAACTGCGTGAACTCAAAAAGTAGTATAAGTTGTTCCAGAAAGAGCAAATGGTCCCTCTTGTGTGTTCAAATCTAAAGAAAGTGACGTAAACTTTACGCAAAATTTACGTTAGATTTACATCAGAAAATGACGTAAACTTTACGTTAGATTTACATCAGACAATTTGACGTAAATATAACGTAAAAATGATGTAAAGTTTACGTTAGATTAACGTCATTTCCTGACGTAAAATTATCGTTAAAAAGATGAGCAAAATGATGGTAAACTGATTGACTATTTTTACGTAAATGTAACGTAAATTTAACATCATATTGTTATGTTGGCTACGGGTAAATGATAATCTTGTGCACAGAGCTTTGAATACAATCGTACAACAAAACTTAAATGTTGGGTTGTGTTGTTTTCGCACTGTTTCTTTAGTAGTTTATTGCAAATGCATATAATCTGCCTTATGATGCAGAGTTTTGCTTAGTGGACCACCCTTAATATGAAGCTCGCGTGGTTCCTGTTGGAGACATTGAGTGTAATATGTTGAAAGTATATCCCCCTTCTGAAAATATAATACTATAAATGGAGAATGGAAGCTGTCTGGGCAAAATTACCCTCATAGCACCTAGTATGTCGTATGCCCGTTAGTGTATTACGCAGTGTATTATCTAGTTAAATTGGTCTAGACCAAACTAGATCGTAGCTATGTAGTGTATTATCTGGTTAAGTTGGTGTAGACCAATCCAAGTACAACACCGTAATTGCGACGTGTATCAGGGGCGGATCCAGGATTTTCAGAAAGGGGGGTTACGGGTGTGTCCCCCCCCTCCCCGGATCCGCGCTTGTGTGTTATCTAGTCAAGTTTGTGTAGACCAGACCAGATGGAACGCCATAGTTTCGTATAGTAAATCATTTTGGCCATGTCTGTAAATGAATCTACATGCAACTTCGCCCAGTATCAACTCATTATATCATAATTAAAATTGCATACATATATTTCAGATGACCTGTTAAAGATTAAACGACAGCCACACCGTGGCTTTCATGGCATGCGGGGATAAATGGTAAGTTGTTAAGCATTGTAAACCGTTCATAGAAAACAATAATGTGACTTCTATTGAAGACAATAGATATAATAGAAGCTTTAAAGTAGCTAAGTCTCTAATTCAGTATCATCCAAAGTCTTCGACATTGAAAACACGAATTATTTGTCAATTTAAATCAACATTGATATTGTGATCTTACTGGCAAAAGATATCCAATATTTAAGACAAAATAAAATTTTTACGATTGGGACATTTGCAACAAGGGATTCGAAAAACACAGCTAGACATATTCCACAAGTCATGTCAAACGGTGACGCCATATCTGGAGAGCACGCACAATAAATACTATCAGTGTAGACTGGAATTCAAGACGCTAGAGATGGCCATTCGATTGAGACTTCTGGCGTATTTCGCCGAACATAACTGATTAAAAATTAGAGTAGAAACAGAAACAATTGAATGTAAATTAGTTTATATACATTCATATTACATTATTATATGCGTTGCGACCCATCTGTGTCAGTTTCTAAGTCCCAAATACTAGCGACCTAGCTCAATTAAAGTGACATATTTCGGATATAAATTGTTGGTGATAAGTTTCAGATTATATATACAGCACTGTGTCGATGCACTGTGCCGCGGGTAGCAGTCTTTAATAGTAAAATTGCTGTCGATTGAGTAGTTAAGAAATGATTTGATAGGATTCGATTTCTTCAAAGGGCGCAAATTTCAACTATACTATTCAAAAAAAGTAGGGGATATTTGATTTTTAAGTGTTATTAAAGTCACCTAATGAAACTGACGAAGAAACAAATGACAAAATGAAATGAAGTTCACATTCATCGATTTATTCCAAATGATCGTTAGACTAAGTAAGGCACAGACTGACCATTATAAGGGTAAAATGATATCCTCTGTTTGCCAAACAAGCATTGATCCGACGTGGCATACTCCTAATGAGACGTCTAAGGTCATTTTGGTCCAGATTGTCCCATTCCTGTTGCAACGCAGCAGCAAGTTCTTGGATATTGGCAGGACGTTGTTGACGTTGACGTAACCTCTGTCCAAGCATGTCCCAGACATGCTCGATGGGGGAGAGGTCGGGACTCAGTGCTGGCCAAGGTAATGTGGTGATGTTCTGTTGTTGGAGGTAACCTGTAACGATCCTGGCCCTGTGACATCTTGCGTTGTCATCCTGGAAGATGAAACGGCGGCCATGACGTCGTGCGAACGGCACAACATGGACTGCCAAGATGTTGTCCCGGTAGTACTGGCCTGTAACACGCCCTGCAACAACATGTAAAGCCGTTCTTCCAGCAATAGTGATGCCTCCCCACACCATAACAGAACCACCCCCAAATCGATCATGTCTGATGACGTTAACGTCTTGGAAGCGCTCGTTTCGACGACGCCACACCCTCCTACGTCTGTCCAAAAAATCAACAGTGAACCTTGACTCATCTGAAAACATCACATTGCTCCAGCGTCGATTATCCCAGTGTTGACGATCCCTACACCAACGACGTCTTGCCTGAATGTGATGATCTCTCAAACAAGGGATCACGCGAGGACGTCGGGCGCGAAGGTGACCCCTATGCAGTCGATTCCGAATCGTCTGGCCACTCACTCTCACACCAGTGTCTGTTTGAAGACGAGCGCTGATCTGATTGGCTGTGATGACACGATTTCTCAAGGCCAAGGTACGGATAAATCGATCCTGGGCTTGAGTTGTCGCCCTTGGTCGACCTGAGCGTGGTCTGTCCTGTACAGATTGTGTATCACGGTATCTGGACCATAGCCTGCTTATGACAGACTGAGAAACATTCATCGTCCGCGCCACAACCGCCTGTGTTGTGCTGATCTGTAGCATGCCAAGGGCACGTAACCTTTCATTTTGGGTAAGCCGACGCATATCAAAATTTGTTTTCTGGTCACAAAAACAATTAAACTGATGTTTCCACCCTGGAATTCAATGCCACAATGACTGTAACATTCAAAGTCAGAGTCGTGCAAATCTTGGGTTGGACCCCCATGATGATCCCAAGCATCACCTGCATTCCATGCGGTAGCTATTGGTGCGTTTGGGCGTCACATGTAACTGGAACTGTTTCTTCTGTTAGGTTCTATAGTGACTTTTTTCGTAGTCATTTGCATATTTTAGTATTATGCCCCCAAAATCAAATATCCCCTACTTTTTTTGAATAGTATATATATACGACTGTATACAAAGGCAGTTTCGAAACATGTTTCTAATGTCCATATCGTATTGTGAGTCTCTCTTTCTTAAGACTAGTCCAATCTCCCGTGACATAAATATGTAAGCAACACCCCATAGTACCTTCCATTATGATGTCTTTGATTGTATATAACATTCTATCGATCTTTTACTGAAATTTATACTTTTGTGTATTTTTCAGGTACCTGTAGCAAGTCATCAAATAGTGGGTCCAACAAAACAGACAATATAAACTATCTCATGCACCGAGCGATAACAGATCTTAACATTCCTTTCATATGTGTAAATTATTCTTCAATATACAGACAAGTGCTAACCTTTATGTTTTGTAATGGTATCATTCTGACCTTTGGTTGAATTTCGCCAACAATAATTGTCAGCTGTGTGACCTTCCCGGAGGTCATACAATAATTTTCAACAGATTGAAGAAATTTCAATCCAGCTCATTAAGAGGTTGTGTTTAAAAAATTCAAGATTTCTTAAGAGGCTTGAATTCTGTTTCATAGCCTACGTAAATTTTCGTTTATCTGTTGGCTTTACGGATTTATTTTTCTGTCTATCTGTGTGAGCGGTAATATAGACGAGAAACGAATCAAAATATGTCGTGGATTTTATGAACATGGTCGAATTTTATTACTTAGTTCTGCTTTTTCAAATTTTGATTAGAGAAAGCCGTCACCAGTGCATCGCGGTTCTGTTTTTGGTGACGCTTCATAGTAGGATTAACTTCTAAGACTATAAAGCTAAGATATGACTATACACACAGTTGACACCGATACCAAAGATGTATTTTCACTTGGACAGTCGGCGTTAGACTCTGTCTCACCACTAAGGTGAGACGAGAATTGCAAAGAACCATGCAGAAAATGGCGTCGATTTTTGCAAATTAAAGTATGAAAATATGGGATGGGAGTGGGGAAGAAGATTTGGCTTTATTTGTTATATTTTTCTGTTGGATTTTTGTGGTTCTTTTGTCTAGTAAAGAAGAACTTTTGTTGTTGATCAGGTTTTCAATGTCCATTTGTTTTTTAAACAATGATCCTATTTTATAATCCAATCTAATTCATGTTGACATAAAAATTCCACCTTTTATGGTTTTTGTCTGTGTAGTGTTTATCAACCAACTGTTTATAGATGTAAAGACAAATTATCTATAGAAATGCCCTTTAGTTGCTGCCTCGGTAAACATACAGATACTGTATTAATAAATACTAACAGTAATTGCTAAAATGCAGTAATACACATAAATTAACACGAATCCCGCAGAACAAAAGAACGTACAAGACAAAAGCGGCGCTGTAAGTCCCAGGTCAGTAGCGAAACATGTTGGGTTTTTTTGTAGAAACACAACCGGCTTTATCCGAAACGTACACAATCAACCAATAGAAACTGTCGACCCCTAAAGGTGTCAGTCAGAATTCGGTCTTCTAGAATTGATCGGGTAATTCGGAGAGGGGTGGGGGTAAAATGAAAGCCATTCGAAATTTCGTATTTAGTAGTCACATGTTGTGGAGGGTCATTTATCGCAACTTTAGTATCCATCAATTCACCAACTGTTGAGTTCATGTTACAGATGTTTCCAAATACCAAAAAGTAAGCGAGAAAGATATGGTGGATAAAGTGGATTTTTGATATTTTATTTATCAAATATGTCAAATGTACTGGGTAATAAAGTTGTTAATCTAATTCATTTACTTTTAAGCGACTACTGGTGGTATAATGATGCCAATGGATTTTGTGAAATTATGTTGTAAAGTTTGAATGTAGGACAGACTGCATGCTTAAGTATGACTCACAGTCATTGCAATTCGTATAGCAAAGCTCTGTCTACATGCGAACAAAGTAATACCAATCACAGTGTTGTGCAGAAAAGGATTAACTAAATTTTTATGTACTGTGTATCTTTGGTTTTAGAAATAAAATTTCAATTAAATACTATAAATGTATCTCATTATAAGTAATTCAACCTACTGACTGCCAAAAGGGCTGAGCACTCCAAGCATTTTTTGTCAGCGATATTCTATCTTCGTGCACAATACAGCCCGACATTTTCATCGGGTGTGTGCTTATGGAAGATGTTTTTAGTTTTCGTTGAACTAATTGCATTGGTAACAGCGGTGTCGGATTTACCTAGAAGCTAGACAGGCGCACTATAGGGCATCAAGATCTGCGACCAAGGTGTTTGATATTTTGGACAATGTCATAAGCCTTTCTTACACGCACTGTAGTCTTAAACAACCGTCATCACCATTGGCGTTGCTCAATTGTTTTTAATCCTGGCTTTCATATTCCTCTAGCCGTGAGGGTGGGGGATTGGGAGGTGCCTCATAAATGGAATAGCCTATATGCAGAAGCGTGTTGGGTTGGTAGGCAGCCGCCTACCCATTTTGATAAATGCAAGAAAATAAAGTAACCAGAAATGTTTCATAACGCTCGAATCCGATGAGATTTCCAACCAGGATATAGGGGGCGGGGTAGCTGTGCCCTCCCTTTTGAAAAAGTGCTTTCTCTTCTGAAATAGTGCCCTACCTTCTGAAATAGTGCCTACCTTCTGAAATAGTGCCCTCCATTTTGAAAAAGTACCCTCGAAATTCCAGTAACCTCAAATACTCATGGAAATGCACGCGTTATTGTCATCATATTCCCATTGTCCTAATGGCGAAATCTGTGGATAAACAAATGAAATTGGGTTCGCGGTATATAAGGCAACATATTTTAAATCCATTAGTCAATTTTAAAAAAATAACGGTTTCTGAAAAATTGATGAAACAAATAATGATCGATGCCCGAAAAATCTATTATAGCAGATATCGGCCGAAACCTGTGACGTCCGGTTTCTGGCATAGGTATCACAAACAAAAGAATGGACTGGCAGTCTATGTCATAGTATATAATCAGTATTCAGAAATGAAAAGGATGTTCCCCCAAAATATTATATTAATTTTGTTATCACTTTATCTGCCCGAGAGATCAGTTAAATTTTCCTAAGTATGTTAGATGTCAATGAGAGTATTCATCTGTCATTCCGAGATTCTTAATTCGCCTCGACCAATCAAAAAAAGGGCTTCCCCAACGTTACGTCATTGACCTCATAACGCTGCAAAATTACCACTTTAATTATATTGAAAGCTGTATAATGATCAAATTAAGTCTCGTTGGCAATAAAAACGTCGGAAAGTGTTAGAACTAGTGAGTATTGTGAGATGATAGCAGTCAAAATGTGTTCAACGAGTCAAAACAATATGGCGGGTGATACAGTTTTATTTTAGAGAAGAGAAAGGGAGAACAGAGGAGAGAAGAGAGAGAGAGAGAGAGAGAGAGAGAGAGAGAGAGTTTAACGTCCACTCGACACAAACTAGGTCATTTCGGGACTAACGTATGGTTCAATTTAATTTCAATAATTGGCTTGAGCGTAGGGGTCTTTAGAAGTGGGAGAAAACCGGAGGACCCGGGGAAAACCCATCAGGTTGGACAGGTGACCCTACTCCTTGTCACGTGCAACCGGGAAATCGAAACCACAACAGCTGACTCAATGATAGACCTTATGATACAGCGCACACGTGCTGACCATTCCGCCATCCAACCTCCCGTTGATAATAGAGTTGGTCCATGGTTGGTCTAATGTTTCAATTTCATTTGTACAAATGTAGCATCTATCATTATCTACTCTTTTTATTTTCTGAAGAAACTTTTTTGTGGGAAAAATTCTATGAAGGAATTTTAATTGGAATTCTTGGAGATTTGTATCTTATATACAAGTTTTAAGAATACTATACAATCATGTAATATTTATTCCAAACATCTTTATCAATAGCTCGACAAAGTTTTGCTTCCCGCCAATTCTCATTCATGTCTAATTCTCTTTTATCATTTTCTATTATATTATATTTTCTATATATTATGTACATTTGCAACCACTTTGTTTAGAAGGTAGAGTCTCCAGACAACACTAGTGTTACCCGAAACAAATTCAAACATGGCTTCCAGTTATCCAGCTTCATAGAATATTAGTCTGGATGGATTGTCAACATTTGAATCCAGTCTTTTCAATTACCATGAACAAAGTTTAAGGAAGGTAACTAACCCTAAAACAAAATGTCGACGCCCATGAAATTGATTCAAGAATTGTCATTTCAGAAAATCCATTTACCTTGCCAGTTCAATATCCAGCACTCTTTAATCTTCTTTATTGTAAAATTCCTCTCTTCGTGGACAATATCCAGGTTTTTAAATTAATCCTAATTCGTCGTCATGATTCATGTTTGTTTTTAATAATGCACGAATTATGGGATTTGTTTCGGAAAGGGGCGCAGCTCTTACTTGACTTGGAAAATTTACAAGATAATCAACCACATGGACAATGGAACTTTTTATCAATTGTTGACACCATACCCTGGACCTCCATACTTTGAAGACTAGGTGTTTCTGGCTGACCGAAACTACCTGCTTCGATAATTTCTGAGCTTATTTCTAAAGAACTGACTCCAACAAATATTAGATTTTGTGTGTTTTGTATAAATATTTTGTATAAATATTGAAGGACTTTTAATATTGAATAATGCTATTAGACGAAAAAATAACATTTTATGAAAATTAGATAACACCTTACTTTTTAGTTTTGACATCGATAAAGAGTTTACCAGGGGATAGAGTTAGTGTCCTATTGGAGCCCATATGTTCAAAAACAGGATTAGGGAAACAATAGAGTGACACAAGTGTTGGATTCACTTCACTCGAGTAATTAATAACCAAGATAACATTACAAATTTGGTTGAGGTCAAACCAGTGAGTCAGTGTTAATTTTAGGGGTAAAAAACTAAGTAAAAATCATGGTTTTAAGTCCTTGTCTCAGATGCATTATATTAATCTCCACTAATAATGTACTTAGGGGTAGATAGAACAAACCAATTATGGAAAATGACCATGAGTTTGAATTTTAAAATTTAATATATTTTCTAAGTATAACCTTATTTTCTGACTTGAATATCAGACCAGAACATCAGATTAAGGGGCTCAGGTTAACTCTTTTACTGGCATAAACTCTAACAATAGCACTAACATTTTGTTCTGACCTCACCCAATATCTAGTCGTCGTATGGGACGAAAAACGAGGTCCATTGACAGTTGATATTCGATGTAAGTTTTACGAAATTTTCTACGTTTTTGCGTCAATGATAATTCTCCAACGGTGTATGAATAGATTATTGATCTATGAAATAATTGGCCCATATCTTTCCAAAAGAGAATTCAGAAGTAAAGCCATCTAGTTTTGTTATTTTTCATCGATTTCATTGTATTGCATAGTTCATTGTAAGATATTGAACCTTCTGTAGATTTGTTAGTCTGTTAATATTTACATTTCCAAGGCAATTTTGAAAATTTAAGGATAACGTATTCTAAATCTGTATTTGCATACAAATTTGAGTGCATTGTTCTACTTCTAGAAGGATATTTTCTTGGTAGCATATAGTAATTAATTTCTCAATATTTTATTTGTATTATTTCTTTTTTCTGGTTTACAGAAATAAGCAGTGCTTCTCTTTTTCACCATATGTCCAATCCATCTTGCTATCGAATGGGTTATACCATTATACCATCAATTTTAATTTTTCTATGTTCTTCAAGTTCATTCTGTAGTAATTCCTGTATTTTATTGACGTTTGTACTCATTTTTATTTTCAATGAAATGGACCTTCTCGGTGACACCGTGGACTTTATAATATGTTTTTATTAGAATTAGAGATCTGGATTTAATAAATTTCACAAATAAATTAAGCGGTAAGCTGATGTTTAACCTTTCGCCTACAACTTCATTTGATCATTTTGATATAAACCTCAACCAAACCCTAAATTCATGATAGATAAGATCGATTTGTTATAGGGGTATAGATATAAATCAGTAAAGGCTCGCGACTCCCCCTAAAGAATTCGACTCTAAGCGTCAATATAAGCAACAATATCGTACCGGGCGGTATTTAAATCAAATAACAACTCTCTAAAGATATTAGCGAGATTTAGTTCGTCTAAGAGATTTCCTTAATAAAACTACAAAATACTACTTGAAAATTCAAAAACAGTATCTTTAAATAATTACATATTTTTAGACATAAAAGATAGGTCACCAGACAACGAAACACACATCCGCGTGCGCGCCGTAGACTAAGGTCTGTCATTGAGTTGACTGTCCAACATCGTGGGTTTTCTCCGGGTCCTCCGGTTTCCTCCCACTGCGAAAGACCCCTACGCCCAAGCGAATTATTGAAATAAAATTGAACCATATGTTATTCTCGAAATGACCTGGTTTGTGTCGAATGGACGTTACCCCCCCCCTCCCTTTTTCTCCCTTTCTCTCTCTTTTTCGTTTTACTAATTCATATAATGCATATAAATTTCATACGGTTCACCAGAGTTAAACAAAGGTCAGAAGTTATTGACGGAAATTGCTGATATCCAATGGACTTCTTCGTTTCACTAATTTAAATGATGAATATAAATTTCATACAGATCGAATGATAAAAACTTTTGTCGTTCGAGCGTTCACAGGGTTCAACAAAGTAAAACATTGGCCATAACTGAAATTCAATAGCCTTCTTCGTTTCACTAATTTAAATGATGCATATAAAGAGAGACATTGGGATTAACGTTGTGTCGAAACAAGCTAGGTAATTTCGGGATTAACATGGTACAATTTTATTTCAATAATTCGCTTGCGCGTAGGGATCTTCACAAAGCCCAGCTTAGGCATGGGCCTGGGGGCCCAGGGCCCCGTAGTTTATGGGGGCCCCGCGGTTCATGGCAAAAGAAGGAAAAAAATCAAATTCCAGATGGAAGTTTCACGGTAATAATCTAGCGGCGCGAGGGCGGAGACTGAGCTATCCCTCAACCTTCTCTGTGATTGGTCGAAAGAGCAGCTTTCCCATATTCCCTCACTGCAGTCACGGT